TACAGCGAAAATCGTCATTCAAACCGAGAGGAAAGAGAAGGTGGTTACTTAGTTCTAAGCTCTCTGCGCTCTGAGAACACATTTGAAAAATATCGACTTATGAAATAATCAAGTGACATTTCCAAAAAGGAATTAAAGGCTGAGGAAACGGTTGAGGTGAAGAGTGACTTTATAATGTACACACATATCTTAAAGTTGTCAATTTTTGAACTACGTTAGTCATGGTTTTGAAAGGTGTAATGGGAAATTAGAGATTCCCTAGCTATCTCTCAAAAACATATCCATGATTAAGAGACTAAAATAGTGACAGAAAAACACAGATTGCCGCTAAAACAAGATATCAAGGTCTTCTTTATCTGGTTTTATATAAGTAAATTCTATATTCCGTTATTCCTAACAAAGCATCGTACTGTTTCAGTAAAGATACAAACGCCCCTTAAAAAAAATAATAAACAACAACAATAAGTAAGCGAGAATCTGTGTACTCGAAAATTCGCAAGTATGAAAATATTGTTCTACAAAATTGACTCGAGATCAACAACAACCAACAACAAAAGCTCGATACAATTCTCATGTCACATAAACAATTGTTTTTATTGTTGTCATAATTAGCTGACTTCATATTTACTTTTATTGTCATATTTGCGCATTTCAATTGAATTTGTTGGAATTTTTCGTCTGTATACTTTGGGCTGTGTGCACAAAAATATTTTTCAAATGTGAAGGTCATTTTTCTTCAGGAAATTTGCAAACACTGAAATTTGCAGCGTCAAATTACCATAGTCTCTCCGATAGCCGACACACTGAATGAAATCGCAAAAATTTTGAGGGCATTACGAGACCGCTCATACATAACAAGCGTTCGCTGTTTTTCGTATGGAGTGAAGTGAATAAACACTGAGAAAAATTTAAAGCACATTTTATTTTGGTTAAATAGCTGAAAAAATACAATTAATTGATAAATATTAAATTATGTTTATTTTTATGAAACTACAACAAAATTACGAAAGTCAGTTTTTATCTATAGTTAAATAACTATAATCGTGCGTGTTTGCCAAGAGATGACGCAACTTAGTTTTTATTCCATTGTTCCAATATTCCTAACAAAAGTTGGAAAGCTACTGTCCTTGTGTATTTTTTACAGTATATGTTAGGTCATTAATTTGAAGCGTAAACAACGATACTGTTTTTACACAAATATTCTAACTTTATGCCGTATATTAAGTGCGTGGAGTACCATAAAAAAAGTCTTAGCCAAAGGCATTCTATTTAGCTGCGTCAATGTAGTAAATGTTGTTTGCACGATTTAAATTGCTAAGTTTTGTTTGGAAAACGAAAAACAGCGTGAAAGCACGTAAAAGTTTGAAACTGAGGAGCTGAAGCACCAATCGGAGAAGATTGCTGAACACTTTAGAAAGTGACTGGTGATGAAAAATGGATTCATTACAACAACCTGATATGCTAAAACCAAATGTGAAACCTAGCCAACCAGCCAAATCAACGGCAAACCCGTATATCCATAACGACAAGGTAATGCTCTGTATTTGGTGGTATGAGAAGGTCATGCTTTATTAAGAGCTTCTGAGATCGAGTGAAACTATTACTGGGAAACGCTACCGACAACAACTCATCAAATTGAAGCGAGCGATAGCCGAAAATGTCCGTAAGTAGCGACTAGTCACGAGACATTATTTTCCCATCATAACAACGCTCGGAATCATGTTACAGGACCGGTTCTATTTGAAAAACGGTGCCTGGGAAGTTTTGCCTCACCCACCTTATGGCCCAGACCTTGCTCCTTCTGCAATATATGGTTCACATCAGAACAGAGTATTAAAAATTTGCTTAATTCATTTTTTGCCACCACGGTGGCGCAGTAATATTAAGGTGGAGTCCACAAATTGCCAGAGAGACGTGAAAATGTTATAGCTTCAGGTGGGCAATACCTTGGATAATATTAAATTAAACATACTTTTCTAAAATAACTTTAAAACTTAAAAGAAAGTTCGACTATAGTTATAACCTGACTTACAGAAATCATTGTATTCCCATATAATATTGGTGCTTGAAGCATAGATGGACCGATATCACTCATTATTTGCCATAAATCTTATTATGCTTAAGAACCCCTAGTCAACTACTTTCATTAAAATATCTGAAACACTGGTCGAGATATGCGATATAAACACAAACAAAGGAAGGAAAGTAGTTTTGTTTTTCGTGTCTTAATTATTGCTTTATTTAGTTTTTGTAAATGGAAAATTTATGGCGACGTTTTCGAAGGAATTATGGTGTATTAAAAGTAAGCGTGATTGTGGTCAGATTGCCGCTGCCAGATTTACATAAATAATATATAGATTCTCCAATAATATACCCGATCAAACAAATAAAATTTAATGTTGTATTTACATTCTGCCAAGTTTAAGAAACTCCGCAATTTCTGCATACTTTTTATGTACAATAATTACTAAAACTATTTCACTTCGTATCTAGTGTTCTAAAATCACGTTTTATAATGTTTGCTTTTTCCCAACGTGTACTCGCACTTATGAATAAAGCTCCAGCGCGCTCGCGCCAACGTCACCACAAATTTCCAGAGTTTATGTTCAGAAGTTCGGCTTTGCTGTGTCAGCCCCGAAATACTCATTCTAAACAATGCCATCGAGTGACAACCGCCACCTAAAAAATACAATAAAAAAATTCAAATACACAATAATGATAAACAATTGTAGCGGCAGTAACAATCACCAAGGCAATAACAACAACAACAACGCAATAACAATAGTAACAGTAATCACATACGAGCGCATGGAAATAAGATTCGAAAGAAGTAACCATGAGCAAATGCATAAATAAAATGTAGGGCTTCACAAACATATGGTACACACACACACACACTTATATATACAGTAACTCCTATTACATGCCATCACTTGCCAATCGC